AGCATGGCTAAAAATTCTTAGCCTGCAATGAAAGTCCATAGGCATGGTTTTGCCCATCAGGCTGAAAATGTTAAAATGGGATGGAGACTCAAGAAAAAGAACGCCGAAGAGACGAGGTTAACTAGGTTATAGATACCCAAAGAAACCAAGAGCAGTAATTCAAGCTACTACTACAACAGGCATTTAGATTTTAAATTGCTCCTCTGTCTCCCTACCCTTGTAAAAGAGTGTACTCTTTCCAGTCATCCTTCCCCTACCCAGGAGGAGCCCCTAGGCTGCTGCTTCTCTGGATATGGGAAGTGCAAACACCGTTTCCTGTATAATCCAGTTTATTTCAGGAAAATCAACATGAGTGGCTAGGTTCATAATTGCATATGTTCATCTAGTAGTTTGGGGATTATTAAGCATTTTAGCCTCATTTTGATCCTTAAGGAAGTAAGGCCATGGCTCAAGCCATTCATCTGAAGAGACAAGGAAAAAAGACCAAACATCACATAGTTACAGATTTCCACTAGCCGTGGTTTCCTTTCAGTTTGGGTGTGTTTTTTTTTTTCTTTTGTTATGCTTTAAAGCTTTCTTAAGTTTCATTTTCAAGACTTCAATCTATCTTCCACCTCTCAGGTTAAAATGCAAACAAAACCAAAAGTTTCACATCCACTCGACTTTCATTAATTACAAGTCTTGTTCATTCTCTACCTCCTCCTGCTTCGTCTCATTCAATAAATACACATGATGATGCTGACTCCAATGTCCTTAAGCAGCTGGGTTCGCCTGTTCACTCAACAAACATTTACAGAGTGTCTTTAAGGTATCAGGCACTATTCTAGATACTTGGCTTCTTCAATAAACAAAACAAAAAATATTCTATTGGAACTTACATGCTAGTAACTATAAACAGTTATTATTATATATGTATATACTAATATAGTATATTATAGGTGATATGGAATAAAGAAACAGCATTGCAGAAAATGCATACTAGGATTGCTGAGGGGGCAGCAGGAGAGATGTTAAATGGGGCAACTGGGAAGGCCTCACTGAAAAGGTGACACTTGAACCAAAACTGAAGGCGGTGAGGGAGTTAGCCCAGAGGATACACGAAGAAGAGCACTCCAGGCAGAGGGACAGAGCAAAGGCCCTGGGGTGAGAGCATATCTAGTGTGTTCAAGGAACAGCCTCAAAGGACGCCAGTGTGGCTGGAATGAGCTAGTGAGTGGGTGAGTGGGGAGGGCAGGCAGATCACAAAGGGCCCTGGAGTCCACCAGAAGGACTCCACTGTGGAAGCTCACTATAAGGCTTTCTCACTCAATGTGAACTAAGGAGTCACTGCAGTTTTTGAGCAGAGGAGTGACGTGTTCAAGTTTTTAAAAGGATCTCCCCGCAGCTGCTGTGTTGAGAAGAGACTGCAGTGGGCAGGGTAGACGCAGGGAGAGCAGTGAGGCTGGCAGAGACGACGGCTGCTGAGATCAGAAGGGCAGCAGGACAGGTTGTAGGAAGTGGTCAGACTCTGGATCTAGTCTGAACGTAGAGAGTCACGCTTTTCTAGCGGATTGGACACGGGATGAGGGAGAAATTGGGTTGCCAAGGACGACGGCTGATCTACAAAAGAAGAAGTTGCTATCAATCATTTTGAGACAAAACCCCAAACTGACACTACGGTACACGTTACAGATATCCCTATTTATTTGGTCTCATCGAATCTTAAATTCTCTTTAGTCCATCTCTCTTTTTCTCCTCCCACAGAAACAATCTAATCAGGGCAGTCAGCCTGTTGCGGATAGCGAAGTTCCTTCTCAGAGAAACTACAGATATGACCGCAGTGACAAACACCCTACCCCAGAAGCAGCCCCAGACTAGTTAACGTTTGATGGCTAGTCAAGCAACAACAGTTTCCATTTATCATTTACTGGCTGTATGACTTTGGGCAAGTCATTTCTCCTCTCTCTGCCTCATTCCTTTGTCTTAAAGTAAGGATACTACTACTCGTAGGGTTATTGTGAGTACTAAATGAAGAGATATCCAGCACCAAGAGCAGCAGCTGGCACAGAGTGGACAATATATAAGGGCTGCAACTGTTACTATCATCGCTGTTAAATGCTTTTGTTACTTCTCAATCTTGGAATGATTTTATGAGAAATAATACCTGGGGAGCTGAGGAGTCTAATATAAATCTTAAAAACATGAACAACCTAACACTAAGGTACCCTAAGTACAAAGACAGGGCAAGTTGCCAGTAGGTGTCATGGAAGCCTAACTGCCCTAGCTCAGTCATGGAAATTCTACAGAACAAACATCACCCACTGTGTGTCTGGGCATGAAACACGGCTACATACCTCATGTCTCTGTGATTTTAACAAACTGACCTATCACGATTCAGGAAAGAGTAGCATCAACACAGACATTTTAACTCTGTCCTTGATTATGAGCCTCTGAGTGCAGAAGAACAGAACAGCCTCTTGAGGAGGCATGTACATTGGAGGCAGGTGAGGTAAAGGATAACTTACTTGCCAATTAGACTGAAAAGGTATAAGTTGAGAAAAATATCTCATATAGTGAAATCTACTACTGAAAACTGCTTCTCTGACCTTTCAATTCTAGTTGTCTGGGATGTTTTCCAGGATACAAGAAAGATGGTATTTGAGCACTTCAGCTTTTGTTACAGACTAGAATCAAGAATCAAGGATTCTTGAGATGTAGTTTGAAAATGTTTACTAATCATCTAACAATCAAAATAACTCAGAAATTAAAATATAGATATATATCTATATACTATTTAAACAAATCTGTTCGCTTCTCCCAGCCTGACACTGAATGAATTTCCACCGACAATGTCCCTGAACAACAGGTAACACTTCCAAGACATACCCAGCTAGTGATTCTCAACCCTGGCTGTATCCTACCTGGAGAGCTTTAAACATACTAATGCCAAGGCCTAGCCCTAGATTTCTGGTCTAATTGAAACCAACGTTGAGAATTGCTGGATGGGTAAATCCTAGAAGAGTTACTTAACGAATTTGGGAGAGAGAGAGAGAAAACATTCCTTGAATGGTGAATCAGTATTTCCAGGTTTAAACTAGCATTCATCTGAACTGGGTTCTGGGGTGAAAGGATACTACAGCCTAGATTAGAAATCCTCTTAACCTGCCCTATAGTCTCTTTAACTATCCTGCATCTCCAAAACAAGAGTTGGTAGACTTCCAAATGTTTTCTCAAAAATGATTGATGACCAAAACTTAGATTTCTTTCAAATGAAAGAACACACAATACTATTCTATTTTTCTCTGGCAAAATCCTTCTAATCCTTAGTGCCATACAGCTGGTTACAATTACTTTTTTTTCCCTGTTTTCTTACTATAGTCAATAACATCCTGCAGCCTGGCTCTAAGAAATGTGATGCTTCCTTTTCGTATTTTTTAAATCCAGTATTTAAACCTAAAGCCTCTACCCAGTATTCATGCCCAACATAAAGGAGAAATTATTTTCAAATGTTTTTGCCTGTCAACATTGTATAGGACTGGGTAATGGCTTTCTATAATAACCTCATTTATTCATGCATTCTTTTAAAATACTATACTTAAGTCTTTTTTATATGCTAGACACTTCTTTCAGGTGCTTGGAACTACAGCAGTGATCAAAACAGATCTGGCCTTAATATCCTTCTAGATGCCTTTAAGTGCATGAATTTAAAAATAAAGCATGGCTGTAGTTCAAAAACATCTAAAGAGTAGGTTAAGATAATGGAAGTCTAAAATAACAACACTAGAAAAGTCATACCAAACCATAACTTACTAAGCGCCTACTACAAACCAAATGTTGTGTCAGTCTCTTCATATATGGTACTCATTTAATAAAGGTGCTGTCCTATAGAGATACAATTACTATTCAGAAGAAATTAAAGGAGGCCAAACAATGAAAAAACTCTTTCCTTTAGTAGAGTTTAAATTTGGCTTTCCACCTAAAGTCAGAGGAAATGCTCCATCCTAAAGTTAACAACAATGAATTATGATCAAGTTGTGTCAATGCATTCATACGACATTCAGGTTAGTTCAATTACATCAACTGTGAGAAGATTTGGGGGTTACAAAAAGAAAAATCAAGTTGTCATAAAAATATATTTCCAATTTCAAATTTTTTAAAGTTGGGAATTATGTAAACTGTATTTCAGGCATGATGCATAAACTACCCATCTGTAGATATTCAGTCACGTAGCTTATTGATATAACAGTACTAATAAAGATACTCTAAGACCAATAAAGTAAATAAACATTACTAGGTGCAGTGATCAGTCCGTTAAGTTCCTTTACAAACACTAGTCCGAACCAAAAGTCACTCAGCTCAGAAATTCACAGGACTGTAATTCGGTTCTAAGCAAAAACGAGGTGACTCAACCAAAAGCTGTCTCCAAACCATTCTGATAATACTCTAAAGAAATTTTTTAAAAGCATTCAGGTGAGGCTATTTGCCTCCAATCTCTCAACCTCCCAAAAATCCTTTTTTTTTTTTTCGTTTTTAACGGAAATGGGGGTGGAGGACAGCCAAGTGGGGTCAATTTGTAAGTTTCCGGGGCGCTGACACAGGCCAACCCTGCTCTCCAACTCTAGGTAGAGACTGTGATTCCAAAATGGGAATTCGCTCCTCAGTTATGCCAAGGATAATCCATCCCCTTTGCCTTTTAAAGGGCAGACTAGCTCACCCTTCTCGCGCATAACTCGGCTGTGGCTGTGATCAGATAAACAGAGCCTGGAACCGGGACCCCGGCCGCCCCCGCCCCGGCGCCGGCCACTCGCCCCGTCCCCTCCGACCCTCACCCGCGGTTCTCCCGGGCCGCCGGCCGGCCGAGTCCCCCCGCCGCTCCCTCGGGGGTCCAAGCCAGGGGCCAGGGGCGGCCGGGGGCCGAGCGCCCCGGGACGGGGCCGGAGCCGGCTGAGAAAGCGAAAGAGCCGGGCCGGGGCGCGGGGTCAGGAGGGCGCGGCGGCCCCGGCCCGCCCGCCCGCGCTCACCGTCGATGTTCTCCCGGTCGCTGATGTGCTGCAGGTTGCAGCCCGTGTCCTCGCGGCTCAGGTCCGTGTCGGCCCGGTAGGACTCCAGCCGGGAGTGGGCATTCCTGCGGAGCTTGGGGCTGGACGACACGCAGCACGAGGTAGTGTTCCCCATCTTCGGCGGCCCCCGGCTCCAGCGGCGCTCGCCTTCCTCCGCGGCCGGGCGCGGGGCGCGGGCGGC